AATCCTAATTTGGTCTATAAAGAAAATCTTCTTCGATAATTGGATTAAATCTGGAATTTTATACAAATGTGATTTGTTTGATGACAATGGACATTTTAGACCACTAAACTATTTTTCTAATATTATTGACAAATCTAATTGGATATGCGAGTACAAAATTCGTATGTCGGCCACTTAGAGTATTCGTAAAGTTCACAAATTTTCAAATTCAAGTAATAGAATGTCAATAATTTCAACTTCCCTACAGGCTATTTTAACATATCTGGAAAATCAAGTAACTTTTTCTACAAGAAAATAAAAATTGTAGACCATGTTTTCAAGCAAATTTATCTAAAGATTTTGGAATATATGAGGAGTCGAATTGGAGAAATATTTATGATGTAAGATTAAAGATATGAAAGATAAATACATAGCAGAATTCAGCTACAAATTATTTAATAATGTATTATGTAACAATGCCTATGTGAGTAAGTGGAAAAAAGATGTATCATGTATGTGTGTAATTGTAACAAAATAGAAAATGTGAAACACCTAATTTTTGAATGTGATAATGTGTCTAATATATGAAATACTATAAGCAGCTTTTCATCATTTAAAATTCAGTGGAAACATATTGTTGTTGGTTTTTTCCATGAAAAATAGCGATAAAATTAAATCTCTAAATTTACTCATTATTTATGTATGATATAGAATATATAAATATAAAATGTTATGGTGATTAGACTCTTTAAGTGAAACTGATTAAAACATATGTAATCATGTAAAAAAAATCAGTTTGCTACTATTCTTCAGTACTACGCTATATAAATGTAAACACTGAGCGTAAGATTTTTGGAAATCTTTCTAAAATAATGTAATACAAAATTATTTATTCTTGTATACAATACTACTGAGAAGAGACCTGTCTTCCAGTAGTGCTGTCATAAGGGGGAAGTAAATAGACTGTGATAAGTATTGTGGCTCCCTCTATTGACAGCTACTTGAAGCTATGATTCATGCCTTAATTCATGATGTATACTATATTAATATATTTTGAAAATACTTGTATTCAGGGATTTTTTTTAACTTTAAACATCTTGCATGATGTTATAGGAGAAAATTATTTTTGTTTAGAAGGTGCTTAGTCAGGGCCCCATCCCTGAGAAGTGCCTATTTTTTTCTAGATGTTAGCATTTATATATTGTTATAGATTAGGATTTGGGAATTAAATTGAGAGAGAAAAAATACTTTGTTAAAACAAATATTCTAATTCAAAAAGCAAGTGCTCTGAAGTTTTTATTTAAGCTTTGTTCGGTTAATAGTCTTTTGGGGACCATCTGTTTCCAACAACAATTCTTATGGAGCAGTATTAATTCTGGAACTTATACATGACAAAAACTCCCTTGCATGGGTATTCGAGCTCAAAAGTCCATTTAACATTACAAAATAGGAGCAGAGCAAACACGGACCTCTAAGACATCAGAGGTGGGATCAGGTGCCGTGGAGGAGTGAGCATCCCCTCACGACCGGTCACACCCACTGTGTGCTCCTTGTCATGATCGGGAAAAACGGAAAAATCCGTAGACAATTCAGTGTGTAAATAATGGCCGAGCAAGTAGTATTAAAAAAGTTAGTCAGCATAAGAGTTAATGAAAGATTGTATTTGCTGACAAGGTCATTGTATCGACCATAGAACTTACGAAATGGTGACTTTAAACAAGACTGCTGATATTCTTGTTTCATCAACTTGTTTGTCAATAATTTACCTCGTTTTAGAAATTTTTCATACGTAGAGCATGCTCTTGCGTCTTGAATCAAATGAAAGATATAAACCCCGTATGCAGGTGATAAAGGTATATTGCTGCATAGATAAGGGAAGTTGACAATTGAAAAGTTCTAGTCATAACGTTTATCATAAAGCTTTGCTGTTAGTTTACCATTAACGTCTTTTTCTAATAAAATATCCAATTATGAAACAGATGTGTCAGATTCTGTGGTATCTTTTATCTCAAGCTCACTGGTATATATCGTTTCGACATAAGAATGAAAATAGCCATTGTTAATTGACAATAAGTCGTTGGTATATCTAAATGTCGGGTTGAAGGCCATAGCAAGTACCTTTTTCTTTTCACGTAAAAGATTTTGAACAAATTCTGCTTCATATGAATACAAAAATAGGTCTGCTAATAACGGGGTGTAACTGGTACCCATGGGAATTCCAAAAGATTGTTAGAAGACCTGGTCTCCAAAAACCACATAGATATTGTCAGTCAAACTCGAGCATCTTTTTAATGTCAACTTCAGAGTACTTGTGTGTGCAATCAGATTGTTTTTAACAAAGTAATTTTACAAATGTCCAATGACAAGGTAAGTAAATTTACGAGTTCCATTTTTATTGAAAAAGCAGCTGTCTGCGATGTCAGAAAGTCTTGACTAAAATTATCATGAGGAATAGTTGTATATAAATTTGAAAAGTCTTAAGTTTTTATGTTAATGATTTTGGTAAAATTTTGTGATTTCAAATGTTCCAAAGTTCCTTTCAAATTTTTAGTATCTACAGTACATCTGATTTACACCACTGCTAAAATATATTGATGCACAGTACTCTTGAAGTTTTTCCTTCACTACTGTTAATATCTTAGTGAGGAGTAAAGAAAGAGGCTTGGTAGACCATTTACTGGAACCTGTTATGTATCATTGTCTGTAAGGATTTTTATGAAGTTTCGGAATCCAATATAGATATGGTAATTCAAATTCATTTTGGTTGTTGGGAATGTAAAAAATATTCAAAACTGACATATGATTTTTAAGAATTTCCTCCTTAGAAAGGAAGCTATGGGTATAAGTTGAATTACTACTTGTAGAATTAAATCCCATTTCCTCTAAAATACAATTTATGTAATGAGTCTTACAAACAAAGACAATGTTGTTACCTGCTTTGTCAGCAGGGACCAGTACGTACTGATCGTGTAATCTAATTTTTTTTCCACTTCTGATTTATTGAATACAGAAGGATAAATAGTTTTCATGCTGCCCCTCAATCGTTTAATTCGAGATTTTAATATATATCTGATACATTTAATCCATTCTGACAAAGTGTCAAATTCTTCTTTTAGACTTCTGATCCACCGCCTGGCGTAATCCTCTACAGAATCCATAATATATATGAATTTACTATGCCAGTTGAAGGATCGGGGTTCCCTATATTTAGGACCTTTCAAAATTAGTGATCTAAGGTCTTAATTATTAACTATATTTACGTCACCAGTAATAAGGTGTCCAGAAGGACTATAGTTATAGGGTGAAGAAGAACATGAAATCGAAGGAGGATTTTGTTCTAGATATTCGATATCCACGCCCTGTAAAAACTTCTTGTCATTAAAAAGTTTGGAAGCAATAGTCGATGTATATTTGTAGGAAATACAAGGTGTAGTCTTCAACTTGAAATATGGTGGAATAAAAGACTGGACCCTTTTGTGATTCAGAATGTTACTTATATTAACCGCGTCAATTCCTTTGTTGGCATATTGGAGTTTAAGGAAAGAACGGGGTATTTTAAAAAGTTTAAAAAAATTATGATTTCCAATATCCATAATCACAGATCCGAACCTGTATTCTGGTGTCGAGGAATCAAAAAATGGACTTTCCTTGACCTTTTCAAGTAGACTATACAAAATTTCAAAGGGACAGAGTAAGGTTTGGTGCGAATTTGATGAATACCTAACTGTTGATTTGCATAAGATTGTAACGAATCGAAAGAGACATCGTGTATTAAAGGCTTATTATAAGACCGATGCCCATGACTACGTTTACGTCTCTGTGTATGGTTGAAAAGTCCCTTCACATTGACATTGTTACACTGTGGACTGGTGTATGGCCTTGCATTTTTGAGGTTCAATACAAAAGGGATAAAACAAATGCATGTAACCTTTTATTAACGCATCATCATACGATGTAATTTATTTTTGGACTACATTTTTATTGACGTCAGAATAGTATTATAAAATATATCCTTCTTCGGTTCTTTTTAGGTAGCAAATAAAAATATGATTAATAAAAAAAATATACTTCTCTTGGCAATATTCATATTTTTTAATTGCTCTAAGAACTGCAGTTTAAATGAACTTTAGTGAATAAAAACTGATTGCAACATTCTGCCAAAGAAATCCTCATATCATTCAAAATCGGAATCATTGTTCTATTTAGGCACATGTACTTTAACTTCTGATTTATAAAATACATAACTAGTATACAATCGTTTCAAAAAAGGGATAACTAAGTATTTAAAAGATTAAGAAAGAGATCAAAAATCCTTAATTTCTCCCCTGTATATCTGTATTGGTCAAATACATAAAGAAAAAATCCGCCAAGTTTCAATAAGGAAACCAGGAAAAAAAGAGAAAAAAGATGAAATGCTTATCCTCTCTCTTTTTACTAAACTTTACCATCTATATTTACTAAATTAATAGTATTAAAACTGAAATACTTGAGAAGAAAATCTTTTTCTTGCTTTTTAAAAGAAAATGAAGAGGAAAATGTATCTTTTTTCATGTTTTGGTTATTTATGATTATATTTTTTAACTAGGAATCCTTTTCCATGTCACTCAAATCATTTAAAATTTAAATCGATAATAATGTTTTGACTATTGAACAACTCTACTATAGAAGCTATCACGTGGGACCTCATCAATCATAAATAGGTAGACCTTCAAGACTGTTTCATGTGTACAATGAAGGAAATTAAACGGTTTATTGTCCTTGTAGAACCCAACAATAATGAAATTTGACCGAATTATTGTTTTAAAAAGTTAGCGAGTCTCACGATGATCAGTCTCTGCCGTTTTGGACAAGTTCTAGCTCTGTTACAGACATGCTACTCTCACTGCTTCGACCCATTCGACCCAAAAACTTTGCTCATTAGTAATAATGAAAATTCCTCATTGCCCGGTTTAAAGCTTTTGACTAATGCTGACATTGCAATGTGCATGATGATTTGTTACAAGTTTAAGCTCTGTCGCTCAATGGATTGGATACGAGAAGAAAAGACATGCCGGCTAAACACAAGATTTGGCATCAAGAGTGACAATAGTCCAGTGACTAAAGACCACATCTTTCATGTCGAACGGGAAAGTTTTCCAACGGTAAGAAAGATATCTTGAAACATTTAAATAAGAATGAATTGATTCGCATGTTTAAGGAATCGCAAATCTGAGTTTATTTAACTATAGCACTTGGCGGGAAATTGTCTGAACCATTCCTGCACTGAGGATGAAATCTGTATTGCTGGTAAATGTGTTCCGGCTTTAGAAGGTAAGATATAACGTCTTAAATTTACTGTAGGAAATGTCTTTTGAATTTAATAAGCTTAAATCCCACTTCTTTAGATGGAAAAACAATATTTAAAAAATACTTTATAATGCTAGATAAAGATTGTATTCTTCCTGTTTCTGTTGTTTGTTTGAGAATGAGAAGAGAGTTTTTTTTTATCAGAGTTGTGTATGTCATATGATATCACTGTATATCTGAACAAGCTTATTTAATACATTATATGAAATAGTAAACTGGAAAAACCATTAAAAAATACTTTAATCATATAATAACAATAAATCAGAATGGGATTATCGTGTTTTACGAAGTTAACTTATTAATATAAATACTTCTTTGTAGAAAAAAAATTTCTTGCAAATTTTAGAAAAAAATTCCAGATACACAAATACCAAATTATATTCTGGAAATAATGGTTTGACTCTGTTGTTCAAGGTGAAGTTTGAATCAGACTTGGATCTGTGATTATGGATATTGCAAATCATAGGCTTTTTAAACCGCCACGTTGTACGGAAGAAAATGCTGCTAAAACAGCCCGCATTTTTCTTAAACTTCAATATGCCAACAAAGGAATTGATGAGATTAACATGTTATATTCTTATTCACAAAAGGGTCCAGTCTTTTATTCCACAACATTTCAAGTTGAAGTCGACACCTTCTATTTCTTACAAATATACATCGATTATTCCTTCTAAACTTTTTAATTACAAGAAAACTCTACAAGGCCTAGATATTGAACATCTGAAACATAATCCTCGAATGTGTTCATCTTCTTCTTTACCCTACAATTAGTGTTCTGCTGGACACGTCATTTCTGGTGACGTATATATAGTTAATAATGAGGACCTTAAATCACTTAATTTAAAAGGGCCAAAATTTAGGGAATCCCGATTTCTCAACTTGCGTAATAATTTCTTAAATATTCTGTGAAAGATTACTCCAAAAGATGGCAAAACATTAAAAAAAACATTGTCAGAATGGATTAAAGGTATCAGATGGATGTTAAGATCTCGAACTAAGCGACTGAGGGGTAATATGAAAACATTTATCCTTCTGTGTAATACAGAAGTGAAAAAAGAATTAGATAGATTACAAGATCACTATGTACTGGTCCCCGCTGACAAAGCGGGAAACAACATTGTCTTTATTTGTAAGGCTCATTATTTTAATTGCATTTTAGGGGAACTGGGATTCAATTCTGCAAGTGGTTATCCAACTTATACCAATTGCTCCCTTTCTAAGGAGAAAATTCTTCATCATATGTCCGTTTTGATTATTTTTAATATTCTCAAACAATCAAAATGAATTTTAATTACTATACCTATACTGGATTCCTAAACATAAGAAATCCTTACAAACAAAGATATATAGTGGATTCCAGTATATATTCTACCAAGCCTCTTTCCTTACTCCTAACTAAAATGTTAACAGCAGTGAAGGAGGAACTTCAAGAGTACTGCACAACAATACATTTTAGAAGTGATGTAAATCAGATGTGGATACTCCAAGAACTTTTAGAAAATTTGAAATCACAAAATTTTACCAAAATTTATAACATCAAAAAATACGACCTTTCAACTCTATATACAACCATTCCCAACGATAAATTAAAGTCCAGGTTTTTGAAATCATAGGCATTTGCTTTTTCAATTAAAATGGAACTCATGAATTTACGTACCTTGTCATTGGTCATTTGAAAAAAAAAATTGGTTAAAATCATTCTGATTGTATACACAAGTACTCTGAAATTGATATTAAAAAGATTCCTGAGTTTCTGATTAACAACATCTATGTAGTTTTTGGAGATCAAGTCTTCCAAAAATCTCTCGGAATTTCCATGGCTAACGATTGCACCCATTTATTAGCAGACCTATTTTTCTATTCATATCAAGCAGAATTCTTTTAAAATCTTATACAACAGAAAAGGAAGTCACTTGTTAGCCTTCAAATCGACATTTAGATATATCTGCGGCGCATTATCAGTTAACAATTGTTATTTCCATACATATGTCGACGAGATATATATCAGTACAAATATATAATCCTTGCAAACAAAGATACATAGCGAGTTCCAGTAAATGTTCTACCAAGCCTTTTTCTTTACTCCTCACTAATATATTAACAGCAGTGAAGGACAATCTTCAAGAATACTATTCAACAGAATATTCAAGAAGTGGTGTAAATCAAATGTGGATACACAAAAATTCCAATGAACTTTCAGAAAATTTGAAATCACAAAATTTTAACCAAATCAATAACATCTAAACGTACGACTTTTCAACACTTTATACAAGCATTCCCTACGATAAATTTAAGTCCAGACTTTTTGACATCATGGAC